GACAACTTACCATAATTTTTTAAAATTTGCAAGTCGGGGCACCTAGGGTGGCTCAGTCGTTAAATGTCTGCCTTCAGCTCAGGTCATGATCCCGGGATCCTGGGATTGAGCCCCACATAGGGTTCCCTGCTCCACGGGTAGCCTGCTTCTCCCTCTCCCACTCCCCCTGCTTGTGCTCGATCTCTCACTGTGTCTCTGTCAAATAAATAAATAAAATCTTTAAAAAAATAAAAAAAATAAAAATTTGCAAGTCAATCTCCCAGGCCCATCATTGCTTTCAAAGCCTATGAAACCTCAGCCTCCTTATATACCAGAACCACGAAAACATGACTCACATCAACCCAAGGAGGTATCTACTTGGAATGGATACCCCAATCCCACATCCAAATGACATCACCTCAACACAGAAGCTTGCTACTAGAAATGATGTTGCTTCAGATGACATTGTCTCAGTCCAACATCTCACCATTGGAGATGACTTTGCTCTCTACACAGAAGAAGACTTCACCCCAGACACTGAGACTATCATCTCAACAATGCCTAAATGCTGCCTTTCCGAAGATAATGACAAATTGAACACAGTATATTGATTGCTTTTCTTCCTTTGATATTAGGGATTCTATTACATTTCTTGAGTTCATTGTTTACTTAGCCCATGAACCTGGTCTATGTTTTGCTCTCTGCCAAAAGGTATACTATATACCTCTGCAATCCCATGTCTAAAGGAAAATCTTGTAGAGATTATTACATTAATGTCATTATAAAAATTAATGGAGATCATTGCTTCCTCAGGAGGCAACTACCTCCTAGACCACCCTTCAACTAACTTGGTTATGGCTGGCCTATAAGGACTTCTTATACTTCTACTTGTTTTCCTCCTTTTTACTCTCATAATAAAATGTCTTCTATGCTGTTTAGGCAACTTACGCCCTACTCTATGTAAGTCTTTTCTACTGTCTGAGCCACTCAAATATCCCATCTTTTTTGCAAAGATACCCTCTTGAGTCAATTTTGAGGCCCTGACTAGAGACCAGTTAGTTGCACTTCTTGAGCAGCTGATGAAGTACACACTCCAACCACTTCCCATATCATGCATTCACACTCTGGGACACTATGCACCAGCCCTCTTTGCCCAGGGACCACGGACCAGAAAACTAAGGACAGCCTCTATGCCCTGGAGCCTGAGAAATTATTCAAATTAGCCAATCCTCAGAGATTCAGAAAAAATCTAACTAACCTCACCCCACTTGTAAAACATAAGCTGCCCCTAGAGATCCAACTTTGTGGTATCCAGGTGTAACCTGTGTGGCTCTGCCTGGCAACCTTCTCTCTTTTGGAGCTCTAAGTAACAAAGAGTTCTGCCTTCTATCTATTTTTGTGACAGTGTGTTGTGTTCTGCCATCCAAAGAACCTTTAAGGGGCGCTGCTCTGCGGGAAGCCTGCTTCTCCCTCTCCCTCTCCCCCTGTTTGTGTTCCCTCTCTGGCTGTCTCTCTCTCTGTCAAATAAAATCTTAAAAAAAAAGAACCTTTAAATCTTATAAAGCCATTTACAAAAGGAGACTTACGCCATATATAAAAATTAACTCAAAATGATCAAAGGCCTAAATATTTGAGTCAAAACTTTAAAACTCTTAGAAGAAAACAAAGGGATAAATCTTCATGTCCTTGGATTTGGTGTCATAATGATATGAAACCAAAAGCAAGAACAATAAAAAGAAAAATATATAAATTGGACTTCATAAGAATTAAAAACTTCTGTGAATAAAAAGATGCTATCAAGAAAGTAAAAAGGCAATCCATAGAATGGAAGAAAATATTTGCAAATTATATATCTGGAAAGGGTTTGTATCCAGAATACACGAAGAGCTCTTACAATTCAACATGAAGATGACAAACAACCCAATATAAAAAATGGGCAAAAGTCTTGAGTAGATATTTCTCCAAAGAAGATATATAAATATCCAATAAATACATGAAAAGATGCTCAATATCATTAGTCATTAGGAAAATTCAAAAATTGAAAAAATGAAGAATTAACAATTGTTTTTGAGAATGTGGAGCAATTGGAGCCCTCACGCATTGCTGGTGGGAGTGCAAAATGTCACAGCCACTGTGGAACAGTTTGGCATTTCCCAAAAAATTGTACATAGAATTAGCACATGACCCAGCAATTCCATTCTTAGATATATACCCAAGAGAAATAAAAACATACAACCACACAAAAACTTATACAGAAGTGTTTAAGGCAGCATTTACAATGGTTGAAACGTAGAAACAACCCAAATATCCATCAATGTTTGAATGGGTAAACAAAATACAATATGGGCATATAATGAAATATTACTCAGCCATAAAAAGGAATGAAATACTGTACATACTCCAATGTGAATGAACCTTGAAAACATTATGCTAGGTGAGAGAAGCCAGACATAAAAGGTCACATATTGCATGATTCCATTTATACAGAATATCCATAATGGGCAATTCCATGGGGACAAAGCAAATTAGTCATTGTTAGGGGCTGGAGGAAGGGAAAAATTGGGTGTGACTGCTTAATGGGTATGGGGTTTTCTTCAGAGTTAATGAAAATATTTTGGAACTAGATAAAGGAGATGGTTTCACAGCATTGCAAATGTACTTTATGTCACTGAGTTGTACACTTTAAAATGGCTAATTTTTATGTTATGTTAATTTCTTCTAAAAATATAGTCTTATTTGAAAAAAGATGAATATGAGTATATTCTCTAGGCCAATTGGCCTTCACATTTTTTATATTGCATACCCCTCTGAACATCTGATACCAATGGATCCGATCCTAGGCAAATGCATACACCCAGCAAAAATGTACATGTCTTATCTCTCTCCCAACCACACACACATGCACATCATTTTGAATATAATTCCAGGGGATTCGGAGGTTTCTCTAGTTAAGAACGCTGGAACCCAAGGAGTAAGTGCTCTCCCTTTAACATAGTTCACCTGCCATTTGTTTCTTCCTTTTTCTATCTCACTTCCAAGTAGCTTCTTCGCCATCTCCTCTCTGTCTTTTCTCTACCTACAGTTTCTGCTTCTTTGTGATGTCAATCTGCTCCTGTGTCAGGGTTTCTCAGGTTCCTAGGGTACAGATCTTTTCATAAGTGTACAGACTCTACTATCTTCTAAACACATGCAACCTTGCATATCATTTCAGGTGGTCCAGACTCCCTCAGGTGATAACATCTGGCCTGGGTCAGTCAGTACAAGTCGGCATGTCAGACTTTCTTAGACACTGAAACAAAGCTGACTCAGAGGGCATAAAGTTGGGTATGGACTGAGAGGCAGCAACCCTGCAGCATGGATACCTAGGCTCCTCCTAGGTACCCTGCAGGTGAAGATACTGGAATTAAGAGAAATCCACCAGGCTGTACCTCCTAAGTCAAGTGGTAGGCAGCAGACAGGGTCAGAGAAGCTTCCCTGGGCACTGTGAAGAAGGGCAGAGAGCGGCCAAGCATAGAGGCTCTCCCCTCGGCCATCACTTCTCAGGGCTTTATGGAAACCCTCCCCTGCAGGGGTCTGAAAGGGATCTGTTCTGGTTTCCAGTTGTCAGGACAGCATTTCATCTCTGCTGGGGTTGACTTAGCTCTGTGGGAATTTGGGGGAGGAAGGGAAGGAGCCAAAGACATTTACTCTGATCCCCCTCCACAGCCCCTCCTTAACAGTCTCCATTTTTCTACCACTGGGCAATGGCAGAGAAAGTTTACTTTCAAAAGGTTTCTATGTTTCTGAATCCTCCTCCCAAATTTCTATCTCACTTGTTCTTGCACAAAAATGAGGGAGGTTACGGACAGTGATGTTCAGAAGCCAGATCCTTCTGTACTCAGTTATCTGCCTCCCAAGCCTCCCACTCCAGGGTGTCCAGATGGCACAAAGCCCATCGCTTCTCTGAAAATGGTGACAATAGAGTCAGGGGGCAGGGCAGAAATGTCACCTTGGTCATCTTTCCATGTATGTTTTAGAATGAGCAATAGTCAGGCGCCTGAATGCAAAGGATGAGAGGCTCTGAAAGGTGAGAAGGGGTCTGGAAATTGCATATTCCTCCCCTCTTGAAAGGACAGGGAAAATCAGACCACATCTGCATCCCTCAGATCCTCAGCTGCCTTTGCACAACAACTAAATCTCTGAATGAAAATAGCCATGGGCCAAATTTTCAGGACCGATACTGTGTCTGCCATCAGATTCCAGAAAGTCTACTTAAAACTCAGTGATTGTTTGGAATCACACAATAAATACATATAATACATATAATCATAATAATACATGTATTGTTAGTAGAACATGACAGAACTACTTATTTCTGAAAATTAAGAAAAATATTTTGTGTGTAGCTAACTGAATCCATTTTCTACATAGTAAAAATTAATGCAATGAACTTAATTTTGGAATCTTGTTGGGGGTTTTTCTATCTTAAACACATTCTTTGCCCCCAAGTGAGAATAGCTTTATTTAATTTTTTGCTTATAAGGATAACCCATGCTGAGTAAATTAAATAAAACTGGAAAAAAATATTTAGAAGCAAATAAAATCCCTGTTTCAACCATCTGCTTCCCTGCCTGACAATCCACCATGTACCTATTATATGAAGGTCTGGAGGAGAGGAGAAATGAACATCAGTGGCTGAGTGGAGAAGTAGATTGAGGGGGTAGGTGCTTTGAGATCAAAGGAGAGAAAGAAAAAATTCCTCAGAGATGTACCAACGGCCAGTTGCCCTAGGAGACGGAGCCCTTCCCTGATAAGATAGAACAAACACATACCACAGGGAGAAGAGGCCACATTTGACCTTTGGGATTAGCAAGGACCATTAAAAAAAAAAAAAGCGGTGAGAGGAGGGGACTTCAGCGCTGCGAGGCGGGAGCGGGCTAGTGAAGGGAAGAAGTGGGCTGGCTCCTGACGCACTTTCGGCTGGTGGGAGGGGAACTAGGGACCCGAGCCCACTGGTGACGTTTCCTTCACGTGATCAGAAGCCGACGTGTGCAGAAGTCCCTCTCCTCCAGGTACTAGCTCTCTATTTCCGTGGAGAGATTTCAGACTGAGGGACAGAGCGGCAACTGCCCTATAGCCCTGCAGGTAGGTACCAGCTGGAGAAGAGGGAGGGCGCTGGGGTAGGGGTGGTAACTGATAGAGGCTACAGAGGATCCGGTCTGCTTTCCAGATGCCACCCCCTCCCACCCCCATTCATTTTGGCGCAGGGAATTGTATGAGTGTTGGGGGGAGAGGTCTGGGTACCATCTCTTATTTCCCTGGGTAAGTGTGGGCTTATGGCAGAAAGAAATGGGAGGAGAAGGAGGCATCTCTCTGGAATGGCTACAAATCCACAGGCACCTGCGGACCCCTGGGGTGGGGGGCGGCAGAGGGCAAAGACCAGAGCGGGTCCAGGACTGGATTCTCTCTACCCCTTCCTTCCCCAATGGCCATATGTTTGGTGCAAGAAAAGGAGGGCTTGGCGGGAGGAGATGGAGAAGGACCAGGGGTTGAGATTGGGTACCGGTTGGGATCTCCTAGGAGGTAGGCTATCGAGCTACGAGCTACGTCTGACGGAGAGGGCCGGGAGAGGGGGATGGCGAGAGCGAGGTAATGGCCTGATCTCTGCAGGGCAGCGGGAGAGGGCACAGCCTGTGAACCCGAGGTGGGGAGGGCCTGCGCTCTCTGCATCTCTTCTTCACCTTCCGTCCATTTTGGAGCCGGAAATGGTGGGCTGCAAGTGGGGGGGAATGGGGGAGGAGGTGCTGCAAAGGAGGGGGACAGGTTCAGTCTGGAGACCAGCTCCCTTTTGCGGAGGAGTGGCTTCTAAACTAGGGAGGACTGAGAGGAGATACCATGAGCCAAAATTTTTACTGAATTTGGAAATAATTTGTCTCTTGCATTGTAGGAAAAGGTGGTACTTCTGTGTATGTGGAGAGGCAAGGGATGTCAGGAATGCTCTGGACATTTCTGCCCTGCCCCCTGACTCTAGCGTCACCATTTTCAGAGAAGTGATGGGCTTTGTGCTATCTGGACACCCTGGAGTGGGAGGCTTGGGAAGCAGATAACTGAGTACAGAAGGATCTGGCTTCTGAACATCACTGTCTGTAACCTCCCTCATTTTTGTGCAAGAACAAGTGAGATAGAAATTTGGGAGGAGGATTCAGAAACATAGAAACCTTTTGAAAGTAAACTTTCTCTGCCATTGCCCAGTGGTAGAAAAATGGAGACTGTTAGGGAGGGGCTGTAGAGGGAGGATCAGAGAAGCAAGGGAAAGGGCAAGGGGGTGGCGGGACTTGGGAAAGTTTTGACAACTACAGTGTGACAAGAATCAGTGTCCCAGTTGCCAGTCATTCACTTCTCAACCCTTCATTCACCCTGTCTCCTGTCTCTCCATAGGTCTTCAGGTCTGTGGTTGTAGGCATCAACCCAGACAAGAGAAGAAAAGACCTGCAGGATCAGTGCAGGTCAGTGGGTGAAAGTAACTGTCCCAGGACCCCTGGGAGTAAGAGTGACTTAAGCTTGAGCAGAAGTTGAGGAGGCCACTACTTACCAACCCTACTGCATTCTCAGAATACATGGCCTCTGTCAGGACTCCAAGGGATGAAACATGGTGCTTTATGGCTGTTGAGGACCGAGGGGAGAACAAGGAAGTGAGAGACAGGAAGTGTGGCATCTGTGCAGCCCCTTCAAGATACTAGTGTAGCCCTGAAATCTGAGAAGTGGCCATTATTCTATTGTGTCTGCAGTTCGAGAAGTCTTAAAACTGCAGACAAGGGAAAAACAAAACTGGCCAGGATTCCTGCAGGTCAGTGTCAGTTGGGACGACCCAGTTAAAATTGTCACGGGCATAGCTAACGCCAGAGCAAAGTTTACGGACAAAGCTGCTCTTACACACTTCTCAGCACACTCCACTTAAATGTAGAAAGAAGCACCTGTGGAAGTCTGTGTAAGGTTGTATCATGTAAACATGTGTGAAGTGGGAAAGAAAGGAAAAAAAATGTCGGGGTGGGAGTGCACCTGTAATTCGGGATAGGATGAGGAAAACCCTAAATCATAAAAGGCAATTATTTTCAAGCGCTGTTTTGCCCGATCTGAGTCCTCCTTTCTGTCTCCTAGGACAGGCAAAGGAGGGAGAATCTCAACATGGAAAAGATCTACAAAGAAAACGAACAAGAGCCAGAGAACGAAGGAACCCTAGAAAATGAGGGAAAGCCAGAAGAAGAAGTTGATACAGAAGATGAAGGAAAATCAGAGGAGGAAGAAAAGCTGGAAGTGGAGGAGAAGCCAGGGTATGAGGGAAAGCTCCAGAATGAGGGGCAGCCAGATGACGAAGGACAACCAGAAGATGAGGGAAAGCAAGAAAAGCAGGGCAAGTCCAAAGATGAGGGAAAACCACATGGTGAGGGCAAGCCAGAATCCCTGGCAAAGCCTGAGGGTGAGCCACGGGCTGCTGAAAAGCGCCCGGCTGAAGATTACGTGCCCAGGAAAGCAAAAAGAAAAACAGACAGGGGGACGGACGATTCCCCCAAGGACTATCAGGAGGACTTACAGGAAAGGCACTTGGGCAGTGAGGAGATGATGAGAGAATGTGGAGATATGTCAAGGGCTCAGGAGGAGCTAAGAAAAAAACAGAAAATGGGTGGTTTTCATTGGATGCAAAGAGATGTTCAGGATCCGTTTGCCCCAAGGGGGCAACGGGGTGTCAGGGGAATGAGGGGCGGAGGTAGGGGCCAGAAGGACTTAGAAGATGTTCCATATCTTTAATGCCTTTGGCCTTCAATTCTGATCTCTCTGATGGGAATATTGCCAACCTTGCTTTCCCTGGCAGGCATTTGCCAGGCTATGTGCTTTAACCTTATGCTGATACTTTGCTTTAGGTGTCACTCTCGGTTACCAGCAGCATTTTGACCCAACTGCAGCACTCTGTCTTTCAGTAGGGGACTTTCACCCATGTGCATGGAAGAGAGATGTTGATGGTACATTGTAAAATATTAATAAAAAAAGTTTTCAGAACTACATAAACGGTATCAGCCCATTTTTGAAAAAAAATAGTTACATAATACATCCGTGAGTAAGGAAAACCATGAAATTGAGTAGATCAAAAGAGAAATAGTGGTTTTCTCTGTGTAGTGGCAATGGAAGAGATTATCTTCTCTCATCTGCTTTTTTCCTTAAAAAAAACATAGATTACTTTTGTCACAAAAGAAATAATAAAAGATTTTAAAAATGGGAAAATACATACCAACCGCCTAAAATAACAGTTCAGTACGTTTGCGAAGGCAGTGGAGACACTTAAAATTCCTGTTGTCAGGATGTGAAATGATGTGTAAAACTCATGTTACCTCTGGCACTAGAAGCTGGAGGAATCAACCTGGCAGTTATTACAGATCCATTGCTGTAAGCAACAGTCTTACCATCTGGGAAATGGGGATAAAACTTCTCTTCCAGGGCTATGGAGAAGATCAGAGGAGGTAATGCTTGTGAGCTGTATTGGGCTGTATCCTACCCTCTGTCTTGCACTGGCAGAGCCAGAACTCTGTCAGATGTTTGGGGGAGGGCTGAAGGATGTCTCACTTGTGTCCAGGAATAAGTCCTGGAAGCTAAGAGGTTGGTGTCACTTTACCTTGGGGAACACTATGTCTGATGTGCGCTGCGAGTCTTCTCGTGGGTCCTGCACCGCCCGTAAGGGCCCCACTGCTGCTGGTGGGCTGGAATCCTCAAGGTAGCAAAACCCTTTTGATTTCCCTAGAGTCTCCGCTGAGTTGAATCCCCTCTACGTTCCCTGCTGAACTGTGGAAAAGATGCCTCTTCTCATGTTATACTGTAGTTTTATTAATCCTGACAGGAGATGTGGAAAAATGCTTTGTAAAATTTTAAGTAATATATTTTTCAGACATTATAATTACCCCATTAGACTTGCCGTTTTCAAAGCAGAGAATCTATCTTACTGATGTCAGTACCCACAACATATAACAGAAGTTTAAAAAAAAACCAATATATTCATTATCTAGTCAGAAGGCCTCAATTCTTGGTCCAGTTTCGTCCCTGATCGAATATGCAGCCCTGCGCACATTACTTTCATTCTTCAGCAACTGAGGCTTGCCACTCCAAAAGGAACACAACAGGAGACGGATTATATGACAATTCATTGCTAATGATTTTAACATTGGATATGGTAGTGTTTCTCAAAGTCTGCTGGCCGCCAAAAGACCACCTGCATTAAAATCACCTAGCTACCTTGTCAAAAATTCAGAAACCCAGTTCCCATCTCAGACCCAATATGTCAGAATCTCTTTTGACTTGTCCTCACAATGTCAAGTGTGTGTGTCCTTTGTTTTTAGCTCATTTTTATTTTTATCAAGTGGGATACTGTAAAAAAAATTTAAAATCCAATAGTGCAAAATAATTTATTATTAAAAACTTCAGTCTGCCTTTCCATTCCACATTCTCATCCTCCAGAGTCAACTACCATAAACACTTTTGGTTTCTTCTAGTATTAATTCCATATTTCTGAATAATATGCTTATGCTACTATTTCTTTTTTTAAACAGCTTGATTGAAATGTAACTCACATACCACAAAACGCACCCTTTTAAAGTGTATAATTTAGTAGTTTTTTAGTATGACAGAGATCTGAAACCGTCATCATTATCTAGTTCCAGGATATTTCCATCACCCTAAAAAGAAACCTCATACCCATTAGCATGTAATGGTGTTCTTGTTCTCTCCCCCCAGTGCCTGACAAACACTGATCTACTTTGTCTCTACTGATTTGTGTTTTCTAGACATTTCATATATATATGGAATTGTACAATATACAACCTTTCATGTAACATAAAGTTTTCAAGGTTCATCCACATTGTAGTGTGTATCAGTACTAAAAATTTCTGTACATGGTTTTTTTTTGCCTTTTAAAATAAACTTTATTGAGAAGAAAAATATAAGATTTACAAGTATAGACATGATGGTTCTGCCTTAGTTTATTATGTAGATAACCTTAGTGCATGGTAATGATTATGTCCAAAGTTGCTTTAACTTCATTTGTATGCTTTGATTCCTTTTGTGAAGAGGCACTCTAAATTTAATGTACTCGTTTTTTGTCTGTTTGAAAGTAAACACAGGTGTGTAGTATTTGACACACTAGTTATTCATTTCTGCTGGAAGAAGCAAAAAAATTTTTTTCAATTTTTTTGTTTTTTAAAATTAAAATTTTTTCCAGTTTCATTGAAATATAATTTACATATATTACTACATAAGTTTAAGGGGTACAGCATATGGATTGATATACATATCACATATATTGTACATATAAAATACATATATTGTAAAATAATTATCACAATAAATTTAGTTAATACCCATCATCTTATATAGATATGGTAAAAAGCAAAAGCAAAAAGAAAAATTCCCCTTGTAATGAGAACTATTAGGATTTACTCTTTTAACAACTTTCATATATAATGTACAGCAGTGTTAACTTTTTGCATTTAAATATGTGTTTTATTTCCTAAGGTATACACCTAGGGGTGGAATTGCTATGTCATGTGTTAACTCTATGTTTAACTTTTTGAAGAACTGCCAGACTGTTTTCCAAAGCAACTGTGGCATTTTGACAATCCCATCCGCAGTGTACAAGCGTTCCAACTTCTCCACATCCTTGCTAACACTTGTCATTGCCTATATTTTTTTATTTTAACCATCTTAGTATAAAGTGGAATCACCTTGTGGTATTGATTTGCATTTTCCTAATGGCTAATGATATTGAGCATCTTTTCTTTCTTTTTTTTTTTTTGAAGATTTTATTTATTTATTTATTTGACAGAGAGAGAGAGACAGAGAGAGACAGAGAGAGACAGAGCACAAGCAGGGGGGAGCGGCAGGCAGAGGGAGAGGGAGAGGGAGCAGACTCCCCTCTGAGCAGGGAGCCTGATGCGGGACTCAATCCCAGGACCCTGGGATCATGATCTGAGCCAAAGGCAGACGCTTAACCTACTGAACCACTGAGGTGCCCGATGTTGAACATCTTTTCATGTGTTTATTGATCGTTCATATATCTTCTTTGGAGAAATGTCTATTTAAATCCTTTACTGGGGCGCCTGGGTGGCTCAGTTGGCTAAGCAACTGCCTTTGGCTCAGGTCATGATCCCAGGGTCCTGGGATTAAGTCCTGCATCAGGCTCCCTGCTCAACGGGGAGCCTGCTTCTCCCTCTCCCTCTGCTGCTCCCCCTGCTTGTGCTCTCCTGCTCTCTCTCTCTGTCAAATAAATGAATAAAATCTTTTTTAAAAAAATAAAAAATAAATCCTTTACTCATTTTAAAATTGGGTTGGTTGTTTTTTTATTGTCAAGTTGTAAGAGTTCTTTGTTTATTCTGGGTAAAAGTCTCTTATCAGATGTATGACTTGTAACTGCTATTTCCTGATTTGTTAACTTTAGTCATTATCCATTGACTTTCTGATAGGATAATTGAGTAGTTCTCTCTTACCATCACAATCTCCATATCTATTGCCTGCCTCCCAATATAGCTTTATCATATCTAATGTGTATTGTAAAAGGCATTCCAGTGATTCTGTTGTTTAACTCTGAGGACCATTTGTGCATTTATCAGGTTAGGCTAAGCTTATACTAAGCTTATGTCAGGATAGCTGCCAACCCCAAAACATCAGTGGTTTAACGCAACAAAGGTTTATTTCTCAAACTTCATGAGAATTGGGAATGGTGAGGTTCTGTTCTCCCTAGTTTCCCAGAGATCCAGACTGATCATGATATCCCTGCAACAGAGGAAAAGAGTACATGGAGATCTCACATTCATTTTTTTCCACACTGTGGTCTAGAAGTGATGTAGATCACTACTCTTCACAGTCAATTTTTTTTCATATTTCCAGCTCTTTAATTCGACAAGCAATTCCGAGAGAGGTGCCTTCTATATAGGTGACTGAACTGAGTCTCAAAGAGTGTAAGTGATTTATGCGAGGTCACATACTGATAAGGGGAAGGGCTTATATGGAAAGCTAGGTTTATCTGGCTCTAAGGCAATGATCCTTAACTAGTTTGCTTTCCTAAACAGAATGATTTGAATTTTATCTTCACCCTATTAACCAACCAATCCTTTAAGATGTCAGAATAGGGTCGCCTGGATGGCTCAGTCAGTTAAGCGTCTGCCTTCAGTTCGGGTCATGATCCCAAGATCCTGGGATGGAGTCCTGCATCGGGCTCCCTGCTCAGCGGGAAGCCTGCTTTTCCCTCTGCCTGCAGCTCCCCCTGCTTGTGCTCTCTCTCTCTCTCTGACAAATAAATAAATAAAATCTTAAAAAAAACTAAGATGTCAGAATAGTGGTAATCCTTCTTCAGATGACAGACCTAAAGAGCCACGCTTGGAATGGCATTACTTCCTCCATTATTACTGCCTTTAAAGGCATTTAATGCCAATTCACAGCTTGACAGCCTTGGCCCCCAAGTCACTGGCTATGCCTATAGTACATGTAGGTATTCAGACAGGTGGTAACTCCTGTTTTCTCCTTGAGTTGGAGGATGACATGCCTTTTTAGGCCCTCTTTGCCTGGGGTCTCCTATACTTTTGGGCATAGGATGACTCAAACATCAGAAGTACTGCACCAGGCACAATGTCCACAATAGCCAAATGATGGAAAGAGCCTAGATGTCCATCAACAGATGAATGGATAAAGAAGATGTGGTATATGTTTACAAAGGAATATTATGCAGCCATCAAAAAATGAAATCTTGCCATTTGCAACGAGATGGATGGAACTAGAGTGTATTATGTTAAGCGAAATAAGTCAATCAGAGAAAGACAAGTGTCACATGATCTCACTGATACGAGGAATTTGAGAAACAAGACAGAGGATCACAGGAGTAGGGAGGGAAAAATGAAACAAGACAAAACCAGAGAGGGAGACAAATCATAAGAGACTCTTAATCTCAGGAAACAAACTGAGGATTGCTAGAGTGGAGGGGGATGGGAGGGATGGGGTGGCTGGGTGATGGACATTGGGGAGG